CTCTCATTCTTATCTCTCTTTCTTTTGTCTGTTTTTTTTTGTTTTATTTCTTCTTTTTTCCCTTCTATGTTTTCCTATTTTTTATCTCTTTTTTTTTGTCTTTGTTTCTTCCTTTTCTTTCGTTATCCTCCTCTCTGTTTTTTTTTTCAATCCCCTCCTCCTTTCTATTTTTTTCTTTTTTTTTACTTCCTCTGTTTTCCCTTATTTTTCTTTTCTGTTTTTTTTCCTTCTTTTTCTATCTCTTGTCTTCTTGTTGTTCTGCCATCCCCTCATCCTTGTCTCTTCTCTTGGCCTTTCCACCCTCTACTATTTATAAGGGGGAAAGGGAAAAAGAGCCACTCTACTATGTCCAATTGTGCAAAAAGAGAAAGGTTGGCGCTCGCAAGGTTTATCCCCTCTTTTTTTTTGTCTGGTGGTAGGCCATAGGTGTTGGTTGTGTCAGGTTTTTAGATATTGGGAGAGCAAGGGAGAGTGGCGCTACAAAGGAACAATCTTCTTCTTCCCCTACCTATAGCATGTCTAGGGGAAGAAGAAGATGTAAAATGTTATTCAAAATATCACTGTTATATATATATATAATGAAACGACGTCATTTTGAACAAATCACGTTGTTTCATTTAAAAGAAAATGGCTTCAAAAGTCTATTTCCAAATCAGTCCTTAATTTTTAATTTATTCAATCAAGTCCTTAATTAAGATTTTGATTTTAAAAATCAATTCAATTGCATCCCTGTCAAATTCAAATGTCAACCCCGTAGTTGGCTACCTTTTCCACTTTGATTCTTGATTTTAAATTTGTGTATTTTGACCCTCAATTGATTAAAAAAATTTCATTTTTTTCAATTTAGCCTCTGACTCGGTCAATTCCAACCCTTATATTTACACGTCTTTTCTAGTACGGTTCTTGATTTTGGATTTCTTCAATCAAATTCCTTATTGCCCATCAAACTTCAATATTTATGCAATTAAATTCCTGATTTGATCAAAGTAACTTTTAAAAATTATAATTTTACCCCTAAACTTTAATTTCTTCTAATTTAAGCCTAAATTGACTTAAAAATTATTTTTTCCTTGCAATCAAACCCTTTATAAACTCAATTAATCTTTCAAAAAAAAATATAATTGAGTTCTTAAATATCTGATTTAAAATTTTTCTTCCTTAATATTGAATTTTCTTTATCAATATAGCTTTCATCGATCAAAAATATGTTGTTAAATTTCAATCTTTGTATTTGTGAACTCTCTCAACCCATCTTTGGCTATTTTTTGGGCGCCCTAATGTCCTTTTTTCACTGATATATATATATAGAAGCTATAGATGTCGGATTTAGGTCTACTTTAAATAGATGGAAATATAAGACATAAGTCTACAACTTTCAAGGGAGCCCAAGATTTAAAAATGCAATTTTCAAGTCCAAATTATAATAACAGTAAAGAAGTCTGAATCTGTCCCGCAACCCTAACACTATTCAGTGTTTGGCCCATAGACACCTGAACTCTGAAAGAAACTTGATTTGTTGTTAACATAAGTTATAAGTATGAATGTCTGATAATATTTACAAGTATTAGCATTATGCAAATAAAATACCTAATGTAATCATGTTAACAATTTATAATCTGATTGGAACCTCCTTTGTGTGTAG